AGTGCTCAAGCCACTAAGGTCAAAAAGAGTGTTCCTAAGGCCTCATGAACCTATGAGAACTCATTTTGTGAGTCTTCAACATGGTGGTCTCAATCAAATCAATCAAGTATTGAGGATTTAAGATCACCCATGTGAGATCAAGAGTGAAGAAATGACTTGAATTTCTAAGTGGGGTGGGTCCCATCACTAGGCCTCTAGAATAGCCAATAGGGCAGTCCTATGACTAGATCTTAAGTCCTAAAAGGAAGACTAGACCTCACCAAAAATGAGGTCAACAAATTTAAGCTTAGTTTTTTAGGGTGGGGTCGGACTTGACAATACGGACAAACTCCACACCAAAAAATAGTGCCGACAGCCACATTGATGATTAATGGTTATTATTTTATACTGGTTTGTGCCTTGCCACACATTTTATGTGTTTTCTTTTCTTAGTGTTTTTACTAGGTTTAAGATATGCACACTTTGAAAGGGTATATGCAATCTTCTTATAAGGAGTCATTTCTATTAGAGGGAAGGCTACAAGAAATATCATAAGAAAATGTACTTACTTGTTGGTGCTAGTAACCCGACACACAATAACACAATTATTAAGTTAAAAAATATGACAAAAAACTTGACCTAATTTATATTTTACGGCTAGTATTTTTGAAATATTATAAAAAATAGAAAATAGTTCATACACTAGTAATTCTACGCAAGTGCATGCATCGCTTCAAGTAATATAGGATTTTCTTTAAAAACTCTAGTATCAATCCCACAGAGATAGATAAAACTCTTATAAAATTGACTTTAATAAAACATTCTTTAAATTATAGTAAACTTATATAGAAAATGATTACAAGTTTTTTTTTTGTGTAATATCTAATCTTATAGAATTAAAAGGAAAGCTAAGTATGTTAAGCAAATGCAAAATGTAAATGCAGGATAATCTAAAAAGATTTTAAAATGTAAAGTTATCACTACTCTAAACTAATAATGTATGAAGAGTTCTAATTTGTATAAAACATCCACCACCTTGTAATGAGTTTATAATTAGCGTAGGAAAATAAATTTAAAATATAATTAAGGTATTGTGCCAAATAGAAGCAATTCTATTCCTTACCCTCTCCCGAGCACATAAAGAATATTGTCTAACCCAAAGTTTGGTCCCTAAACCCATGGTTAGGTTGAGAAGATACTGTCTCTCACTATAAAGTTCCCACTTCCCCTCACCTGAGGGCTAACATCTCGCTTTATTTTCCAAACATCTGGACTAAATTGACGATTTTAGTCTGTCATCCTAAAGTTTCCAATTCTACGCCCATCAAAACTTATTTCCCTATTTATTTGCACTTAACCTTAAGGACTACATTCTCATCCATGAGGCTAAATGTGATTCTTACTATGTTGGAACATAACCCATTTCAGGTTACTATGTTTTACAACAAATTTTAACAAATAAATTGGTCAAATCGATAAGTAAATTAAGTATAGAGTTTGAATCATCACAATTTATGGAATTTAAAAAAACTTCTACTAAACTATATTCCTACACATAATTATTCCTCATTGTAAGGGGAAAGACAAATGAAACTACTCAGATCTCATGAGGAAGAAACAACAATACATAGATTTATAAACAAATAAAAGTTTATAAGATAAGACCAAGTAAAAATAAACAAAGTACACAACTTATCTTTGAACTCCTTCCCAAACAATCCTTCTAGTTCCATTAAATCACTTACTCTCCTTATAATTCCTCTCCAAACTTACTTAGAATTGTTGTGAAGAAGATATCTCTCACTTCTCCTCTTCTCCTCCATGTCCAAGCAAGCCTTCAAGACTTTCTCCTCTCTAAAAAGAATCCACATCTCTCCAAAAGACTCCCTTTTCCTCCTCCCAAAAGTCTCTCTTTTGAATCTCCAGAAGTTTCTTTAAATAGAGCTCTCAAGATCCCCAAAAAGTTTCTCCAAGCACCTCTTCAAAATTTGTCATTCAATGGATTTTTTAGATAACCGCCTCTGGTAGGCGCCAGATTCTGGTTCCTAGGCGTCAGATCAACATTAGTCTTTTTTCTTCATTTGACATCAATTTACTCCATTTTTGTTCAATTTGCTCCATTCGCTCCATTTAATGTACCTACAACCAAAAACATCAAAAATCATCAAAAATATATTTCACATTAAAGTGCAATATCATAAAAAATATGCATTAAATGTGCAGGAAAAAACAACAAATTTTAGGCATGTCAGCTGGCTATAAATATCCCCCACTAGACATAATCCATTTTGTGCATGCATGATTTATATAAATGCTTACTAAATCTATTTTGTAGGTAATCAAGTTTGAAATTTATATTCATCTTATGAACTTTTAAAAGTTTAGGTGATTGAGTTTGTGAATTAAAAAAGCTATGTGCATGAGTTCCTTGGAGTTGGGGACCAAAATCATGCTTAAAGAGGACTACGAGCTGATTGTTTATATTCGTACGTTAATTTTAGATTCAATATTTTTGTAAGGACTTAAGATCGAGTGGCATATGTGTAGCCTGACCGCCTTTTTACTTTTGTAGAACATGTTGCCGACCTAGTAGCACCCAACATTTAATTATTTGTGCTCTTTAAAGTGTCTTACTTTCTTACTCATATGTGATGTTTTTTTTTTGGATTATGATTTGCCTAGGCTTTAATTTTCTCGAGTAATATCCTAGGATAAAATCTTTTTCTATGAAATTTTAATAGCATGAAATATTTAATCCTAAAATTGATATAATAAAAATGCTAAAATTTTCATAATAAAAATTTAATATTTTCATGTCTCTTGTCAAGATTTTAAATGACTTGTATTATACTGAACTATTATGATTGTTGCAACAATGAATTAGATTTTTGATTAGTTTTGTTAAGCTAAAAATTCCTTCAATATAGAATTAGAATTGAAAGATTATAATCAAGATTTTATTTTATAATTGCGGTTGAATTGCAGAACTGATTTGGTTTTAAAAGAATCGAGTAATTTTAATATTAATCCATTTTAGTTTTTATATTTTGATAGGAAATCTAGAAATAACATATTTAAATTTAGAAAAGTACCATGTCTCAAAATTTTGAGTTATAATATTATTCAAAATATTCAAGAGGTAATTGTCCTAAATTAAAATATTTAAGAGTGAAGTGCCTTATCATAAAATATTTTATGTTAAAATTAATAAAAATATTATTATTACGTAATTATTATAGTTTTTAAATCATATTAAAATATAATAATATTTATTACACTGTCTACGTCCTTCCCCGGAACCTTTGAACCTTGAATTAATCTTTTTTAGTTCAATGTTCGATCAATATTTCATACTGGTGAGCGTATGCATAATGGAGTTATATAAATCTCCTTCATTGGCTTTACACACTAGCATATGAATTTTCGCTTTTAAGGAACAAGTATGAGGCCATGTACAATTACAATTAGCCACATTACAAATAAGGGTTTGCCTAACTTGAAATTAACACAACCTTTTTGTTAGCACTAACAAAGAAATTTTTATCCGTTAACACCTTACTGCTCTCCAACTCAACATTATTCTTGTTCACTCTCCAAAGAACTTATTACATCTGATTCTCATCTTTAAGATGGCTTAATAAGCTCAATAATGTAATGATACTACATATATAATAAGAATGTATTGGATTAGGACATTTTTCCTTAAGGAATGGCCTCAAAATGCACCAAATCCCTCTTCAAGTTTCTCAATGATCTCTCATAAAATATTTTACCCACATTAGTATCAAAACAATCCATCATCTTCTTCAATTGATTCAAGTAACATAGTAAAAAAGAAGGAAAAAAAATGGAAAAAATAAACTTATTTACATCATGTATAATGATATATAACCCATCTTCTAGGTACCATCCCTCTTTGTGTAATATTGCAATGCTCCCTCCAAGTCTAAATTCTTAAGAATTTTGTCTCCACCCAAGTAATTATTTAATAGCCCACTTTGCTTATCTTCTTATTCAATTCCTAGTCTAGTGATTTGTGAAAGCTCAACGATGTCAAATATTATATCATTGCTTCAAATGTCAAGCATAATGAAATATCTCTTACTCTCCTTATCATCAACTTTTTTTTGTAATATCTGAAGAATTATGGCCCTATAGAGCGTTAATTTAAAACACTTGAATTCATGACTAAATGAGAGATATTTGAGCATTGTAAAAGAGGACATAATCCTTAATTTATTTGACAATCATTATCATAACACATCCAATTCTATATGTGTCTAGAGCAATGTTATACGACTTAATATGTAGGCTTAAAGTAAGCATCAACATAATTAGTAAAACAACATAAATGAAAATTGTTTTGAAGGACATATTGAAGACAAAACATATGAACCATGTTAAAACAATGGCTGAACAATATATGAACCATGACGAGCCATATCTGGTGATGATTCAATTATGGTAAGAGATATTTGATTATGATTGCATCATGATTTGAATAGAATTTCAAGGAGGTTCGACAAAAATGTTATTCATGACTTAAAGATGGTTCGAAGTTTCTAAGTCACAACAGATATTGTCAGTGTGAATAACTAAATAACTAAATGTATAACATCACTAACTTTGAGCATATGATGAATGGAGAGATTATCATATGAAATTTTGCTATGACCCATACACATGCACTGTGTGATCGTTGAATATGGAGAATGTGCTGTGCATACAAGTGAAGGAGTTCCTATAGTTAAAAAAATTACATTAGTGTTCAATGAGATTTTTGACTCCATTTGTAATGAGTAGATGCATATATTATTTTTTTGATATATTTTCCTTAGTAAATAACTATTATGCATATTTCTTTTAACTTTTACTATTGTAATATTTGAAATAAATTTCAAAATTGAATATCTCCAAATTTATGAAAATTGAATGCTTGATATTGATAAATTTTATTCAAATTAAATTTAAATTGGATGTGACTTTGCAAGGAAAAGGGAAAATTGAAATTTCGCCATAGGTGAAAAAGGGCACGGGCTCCTCTATCTCATAGAGAACTTGGGAGTCCCTCCCTTCAGCTGCACCCATGGTTACCTCCTCCAGAACAAGCGATTCTTCTTCGAGCCGATCCAAGGTGCAAATTTGAATCTCTCTTCATAATTCTATACCAGATGAACGATACTCGTTTTAAACCTTTCTCAATCTCTCCCACTTTTCTTTTTTATTCTCACGGACAGCAGGAGAAAGAATACGTTGCCAGCATCTCATGGAAGCTTTCCCATCTTAAGAAGCAAGTTCAAGCTTCGCGATTAATTGCAGTTCGAGTAATCTCTCCTTTCTTATCTTTTTTGGACAAATTCCCTGAACCCTCGGAATTGAGTGTGACTTTATTCTGAAAAATAATAGGAAAAGATACTGAAGAATAGGAAGAATCTGGAGGTATACACTTCCCATCTCTTCGAATTGGCTAAGGAGAAGCAAGAGATGCCGGTGCCCTTGGAGTCCGAGAATTCGTGGTTCGCCTCAACAAGCTTCCCTTTGTAGAGAAGATACCGCCCTATACTACTTGGATTTTCCTGACTAGGTTAGCTTTCGCTGGTTTTTTTATCTCGATCCTGGATGTCTAAATTTTAGCATCATATCATAAATTTTCCCTGGGAATCAGTTACTATTGTAGGTTATGTACTTTTTTGGTTTATTTTTGTCTTTTATCTTTGCAAATCTTGCAGCATAATTTTAATTTATTTGCGAGTTACATCTTCATAACTTTTTCAACTGTAAAGTGAGATCTTGAATTACGTTTTTAATGAGAGCAGACTTTACATACCTCACAATCAGTTTTTTTTTTATTGTATTTTATTTTGTTCATCAGTATTGTTACAATGCATTTCTACTATCCTATATCATGAAAAAGGATTTTATCAGGATATTATCACACATTTTGTATCAGAATGGGAAGATACCAGATAGATAAATAAAGCTAGAAACTAAATATTCAAAGTATAGGACATCTTAATAGCAACAGAAACACCACCAATGACTAGTTTTGAGCGTTTGCCTATTTTTAATTTTGTTTTAATGTCTTCTACTTTTAAGCATCTGATTTCTATCGTTGATTATTTATTTCCATCCAAACATATTGGGATATCTTGATATAAATGTTTCTTCTGTCACTCATATTTATATATTTTGGCTATTTGTCTGGTAAATGTTTGGCTGACACAACACAGGAACCAAAGAATGGCAGAGGATCAGAGTGTTCTTGGAAGGAGGCAGATATATTATGATCCCTATGGGAACGAGACACTCATATGTAGTGATAGCGAAGAAGAGATTGTGGAACCAGATGATGAGAAACATGACTTCTCTGAAGGGGAAGACCACATTCTTTGGTGAGCTTTGCTTGTAGTACGCACACATCTTTTTGGAGTTAACCTCTGCTAGAAAAACCAAACGTTGTTTCAATATTTCATTTATTACATCATGCTCCATTTTAGTTGAACTGTTCTTCTTTCACGATTATTTGCAATGGAGGGTTGGCTAGGCTAGAAGTTTCCCTCATACATCTAATGTTTTAGTTACAAAGTCATTTAACTTTTGCATTAAAAAATGTTAAGAAAAGAGGGCATGTTATTAAGCAACTGTTGTATGAGGTTGGCCTGTGTAATTACCTCTGCTTTATTATTTTAGGCATGCAGTGCTTGATCATCAAGCTGACAGGAGAATTACCATGTAGTAAAACTTATTTTGATCTTCATCCTAAGTAAAGAAACACGTTTTTGGTTTTCTAGATATTTTTATATTATTCTATCATAGAAGAACATCTTGAAAGCTTCATTGACATGTACGATGGGATCTTCCGGCCCCTCAATACCCAGTCTCAAAATTTGTGCCAGACCACTCAAAAAATATGAATGAGAGTGTTTTCTTCAGTTACTGGTCAAATTTTCTGAAGAAATATTAGATTGTAGATAAGACACAACCCAGGAACTTCATCTCATTTTATGAGAATTTTAAGATTTGGTGTTCGAGTTTCGTAAGGCGCAAGCCCTTATGTTTAATCACCCTTATTGATAACCAAAAAACATTTTCGAATAACTAAGTACCCTAGCATGTCAGAAGTCTTGACTATTGACATGACGATGACAAGTGTAGTCCTACTTGATCATTAGGTGGTTAGTGCTGCCTTTGTAAGTAACTGTGTGTTGCTTTATCCTAAGACACCTACACAATCTAAGGAATTTATAAGCTTTGGGATTTTATCTGTCAGTTCTTAGCAACTAGCTAGGGGTACTTAGTAATCTAATCCAAACTTATAGACTAGACTATTCTAGGAGAGTGTATGAACCTGTGTTTTATTTATGTGTTAACTAAAGGTTTACGGTTGATATATCTTACTGTAGTTTTAGTTATTTAAGTTGACGGATTTTAATTTGTTTTCTTAGGGTTTGATATTTTAATTCTGATTTGGTTAGGTTCCCTAATTTGTCGGTCAATAAAAGAATTAGTTGTTCTAAAATTTCTTTGTTTTCTAATCTTTATTGATGTTTTGCATTTGATTTTTCTATCAAAGTCCGACGTCAGGTTTTGGTTTACTATTCTTTGTTGAATTCTTGTTATCTTACATTTTCTAGAAAATCCGAGGTTTATGTGCATATTAAAGATATTCACGTATATGCCACTTAATTATCATATACTTCCGTATTTAACATCTAAATTTTATTTATTTTTCTTTATTTATATGCTTACTTTTTAATATTTCATATTAAAGTATTCAATTATCATCCAAAAAAATATTTGAGATTTAATTTCTAACCACAAAACATTGTTTATATAATTTAAAATTTAATTTTTCTCATCCGAAAATAAAAACATTTAAAATTTAGATTTTCATGAAAAATATTTATTTGAAATAATATTTTAGATTTTAATTTTCATATCAAGATATTAAAATTTAACTTTAGTTGTTCACATGCATGTAAAGTGGTTTTTATAAAAATATGTTTATCACACAATGCTATTTGAAATTAAAGTTTGAATATTATGCTTATAAATAAATTATATGGTATGTATTAAGTGTTAAATATGCTAATCTATAAAAATTTACATGAAATGTTTTTGAGCTTATATGAATATTTAGATTTGCATTTTTATGTGTTCAGTATATCAATTACATGTTTTGAATGTAAACCTGCACATTTAAATGCCAAACATGTAAACATATAAAAATTGCATGACTTCTACATATACTTATATTTACTTACTAAGCAATTGAATTGCATGAAAATTATATGAAGGTGTGAAAATTGTAAGGTTATAAAAATTTGCATGATAATATATGTGAAAATTTTAAGACTATGGAAATTTGTATGAGAATTACTTAAAAATTTTAAGTTTATGAAAATTGACCTTGAAAATTATAAGTTTAAATGATTATCATGAAACTTACTTGAAAATTTGTAAAGCTCAAGTGATTTGGAAATTGTAAATTTAAATTATTTGAAAATTTAATTGATTTGAAAGTTTACGTTTTAAATGAATGAAAATTTTGCAAGTTAAAGCTTTAAGTGATTTAAAAAAATTTAAGTGTTTTGCAAGTTGAAAGCTTAAGTGGCAAAAAGATTTGAAAATTATAAGTTTTAAGTGGTAAGTTGAAAATCAAGTGGCTCAAAAATTAAAAAATGTAAGTTATAAATAGTTTGAAAATTGATTGACTTAAAAAAAATGGTAAGTTTCTTGTTATTTGAAAATTGTAAGTTTTTAAAGAATTTGAAAATTGTAAGCTTTAAAGGATTTGAAAATTATTTGAATTTGAGTAATTTTTGAACTTATATATAAAATAATTTAAAATTTGAGTCTACTTAACCTTAATTTTTAAGAAAATGGTTTTTGAAATTTGATTATTTTTAAGGTTACCTCGAGATTTTGAGCATATTTAAATTTACACAATTTACATAAAAATAGTTTTGGAACATTTGAGCACATTTAACTTTACATAACTTACATAAAAAAATAGTTTTGGAATTTTTGAGCATATTTAAATTTATCTAACTTATGCTTTGAAATTAACACAACTTAATATGAGCTTGCAAATTAACATAACCTAACACATAAACATGCAAATCATCATAACTTATCAGCTAAGCATGCAAATCATAACCTACACACAAGCATGCAAATTAACAGATTTTAACACATAAGCATGCAAATCATAACTTACACGATAAGCATACAAATTAACATATCTTAACACATAAATATATAAATTATAACTTACACACAGATGCATGTATAAGATACACACATAAGCATGCAAATTAACATATCTTAACACATAAGCATACAAATTAACATATCCTACAGCATGCAAATTAACATATCTTAAGATACACACATAAGCATGCAAATTAACATATCTTAACACATAAGCATACAAATTAACATATCCTACATATAAATATACAAATTAACATAACTTCCACGTGTGCTACGTTAACTTAGAAGATGAAAAGTACACACATGTTTTATAAACATGGAAACATATAAACTATGTTACACATTAACTTGGAACCTGTAAAGTAAACAGGATATATAAACATGAAGACATGCAAACTGTGTTACGCATTAGGTTGGAATTTGAGCATGGAGACATGTAAGTTACTTAAGCATGCAAGTATATAATACTCAAAAACATATAAACACATACATAGACGTAGGAGTATGTAAACTACCTAAGCATGCAAGTATATAACACATGAAAGCATATAAACGTACACTTAAACATGATTATTATTTAAACTATCTAAGCATGCAAATATATATCGCATGAAAACATGTAAACGTACACACAAACATGGAGATTATACAAACTACCTAAGCTTGCAAGTATATGACACATGAAAACATATAAACATTAGTACATTACACATAAACACGGTGATTATGTAAACTATATAAACATAAATATGAAAACAATGTGGCATGTGTGTGAATTTTTTTTTTGACATGCAAATTCATGGATATCAAATGATTAACATGCTTGATATAAAAAATTAAATGAAAGGAGATGAGTATATACCTTGCTTGCATGAAACAACCCAGAAGGTGAATGGGAGGGTTTCATCCAAGGGAAATGAAAGGGAAAGGAGTGGTAGTCTTCTATGTTGGATGGAGAAGTATGGGAAGACTCGGTTTTATGGAAAAATGGAGAAGAGGGAGAGTGGCTAATGGTTTGGATTGAGAGGAGAATGGTTATGGAGAGAGGTTCTCGGTTTGGATGATGAGGGAGAGGGAAAAGAGGATCTTTTTATGCATTTTTTTGAACTCGGAGTCGTCAGCTTGTTTATTATCGCCATTTGATTCTCTCTTCTAAAACTTTTTTTTGACCATCAAAATGATTCAAAGAAGAATATAAATTAGAAAAGGAGAAAATACGATGAAACTAGACATATAAATTAAAAATAAAGTAGAGAACTTTTATGAGATAATGTTCGTGTGATAGACCAAGAGTGTATGACCAAAACAAAATCTGTCGAATCACCTTGAAAACATATTCATGAGGAAAACCCTATAATTGCAACCCACATAATGAGAGAACCAAAATTATATTTTGTTAGTGGTCAAGAGTAACTCTTAAAGAACGTCTCTTTGATTAATTACATCTTGGGGGATATATAAGAATACTCTAATTAAAGAAGCTTTGCTTACATTTTTTTGATAACTAGTAAATGGTTATATCAAGGAATTTATCATCTATAATAGGAATATCCCAATGCTTTTAAAGCTATACTAGGCCATATGGTAGATGGTGAATCATCATATCCACTATGGGCGGCAGCCTATCGATAAATAAGACATACAAAATAAATGCAACGATGTGGCAAAGGAATAGATTAGGCTTTAAGGGGTTATACCAATAAATATATCAAGAATACTAAGTTGGTAGAGATAGCCAGGTCAAGATTCCATGGATCCTTCATTCCAAGCTATTAAGACTATGTTTACCTAGTCATGGAGGTAGTTTACCTAACCCAACTGAAGATCTCTGGTCAGCGACCCATGGGTTGCATCGTCAAAAAAATTTCGGTAGCCCTGAAGTCAAGAGAAGGAAACTTCTAATTTCCTATGACCCTATTTAGGTAGAATTCATATAAGGACTTATTTCTGCCAAGAAAGTGACAAAATACCTCTGGAGTGAATTAGAAAAGAATGGTTCGACTACAAAGCCAAATAATTGCACAATAGATTTACACCATGTCTGGGTCGAGTGAGCCTCTAACATTTTAGCTGTTCTAGACAACCATTTAAGCGTAGAAATTTTATGCTTGACCACTCAGTTTGGAGAAGCACGAGTACTCTCGGAAGATACAAATATGATACAATTATCTATATA